AGAAGAAGAAGAAGAAGAAGAAGAAGAAGAAGAAGAAGAAGAAGAAGAAGAAGGAGAAGAGAAACTATAATACACCTTTTCTGCTTTGTCAGTATATCTATGTATGTGTCTTCTGCCTATCTGCAAGGCCATAAAGTGAATAAAACCATTGACATATATGGAACGGAAACTATTGAGGGGAGAGGAAGGGGTTGAGAGAGGGGTGGGAAGAGCTGGAACAGAAAGACTCTTGTTCTCATTTCTCTTTACCACAACTAACCAAAGGTCAAGCTTACAGTACAATACAGCAAAACTGCTACCTGGTGAAAGCCAAGAAGCCAAAAAAGAAGCAAAACAAAAACAAAACTGATTAATAGTGACAGAGGATGGGGTCGGCTACCCCGCAGCGCCTGCCAAAAACGTGTGGACAAAAAACACACACGCACACACAAAACAAATACACACACACACACACACACACACACACACACACACACACTCACATACACACACATACACACAAACACACACAAGCAAACACACACAAGCAAACACACACAAGCAAACACACACAAGCAAACACACACAAGCAGTGGGGAAGAAAGGAAGAGAGAGATATAGAGACAGAGAATGATGGGGAGAATGAGAGAAAAAGAGAGAGGGAGGGGGTGATGAAAGAGAGAATGAGAGAGAGGAGGGAATGAGAGACAAAAAGACTGACAGACAGAGACAGATATTAGAGACAGAGAGAGAACAGGGAGGTGTGGAGATAACGGGCGAGAGGGGGAGGGAGAAAAGCAGCATGTGAACAAATGAGGACATTATTAGGTTTTTACCGGATAAAATGAACGGACGAGAAACACAAAGACAGAACCAGTTAGGAAGATGAAACTGTTGAATGTGTCCACGCACAGAACACCTGCTTATGGCTACTCTAGATAACTTACCTTAAAAGTTGCCATGGCGATTCGCAGCTTGTTCGAGAAGACACACAAATATCACTGGGGTCAGGAGTCCAAAGAATGTTCACACTTGTGTCCTGCTTATGTGATATCCCATATATTATTTATAACAATAACGTTGAAGCAGCGTTGAAATTCTTCACAAGTCGTTCGTTATCAAGACAGTTGGTAGATTCTTATTTATTCTTACTTAGTGTACACTAAATTGGTATAGCTGGTGTAAAGACTTTATGACTTTTTATTTACTCTCGAAAACTTAAGAAAATCGGGTGAAATTGCGGGTACACAACTTGATCTATAATATGGGTTTACCACTATTCAGATCTAAGCGTCGCCTACGCCAACTTGAAATGGAACTGTTTATTAGTGCCCCCTAGTGTCTTGACCGTAAACAAGCTGGCACACGTTACGAAAGGAAAGAACAATAAAGAATAGATGCCGTTACGTAAACTGATTCTTTCAAGCTGGGGGTCTATGCCGATACTCGTGATAAGCTCTCCACGCACCGGCAGGTCTGTTTCATCGCACCACATGTGCCCGGTACAAAACCTGTACATGCAGTGTCTTTTTTGTTTGCTTTCTGCGTGAACCAGCTATCTGGGCAAAGGTTCAGCTTTACCACTATAGGCCTATCCTGATGCGTGTAGTTTTGCAGTGAAGAGCGACGTGCCCCTCGCTGTCGTCTCGCGTACTGTGACTGCTACCGGTACTACAACTGCTGTGATTGTGAGTTCAACGCGGAGTGATCGATGATGGAAGCTGGAAATATCCGAATAAAGAACCCGGTTGGTTGATTAATTTCCCCGATTGGCATCGAACTGGTTCATGGGCTAGTGGAGTGGATTGTTTTTAACCAAATTTACATAGTTATATCGTGACTACGGGCTGCTCTACCCCGTGGTCTTGAATGTGTCTCTCTCTAGTTGAGCAACTCGTTTTCCCTGGTTGTTGTTGGGGGGTTTTTTATATTGCCATTTTAAAAAGTCGGTTCAATCTGGTTTGTTTTGACTGACTTGTCGTGCTGAGGAAATACATTTTCAGACGACAGTGAGACCATTCGTTTTGTAGATAATATTACGATGCTGACGAATTCACATTATTCGTGCCTAAAAGTTGGAGATACAGTACCTTTGGTTGACTTTGTTTTAGCTGATTTTACCAAACCAAAGTGAGGCTCTATTGAAACCGGTTCCAAAAAAGGATAACTGAAAATCCTGTTCTTTTTCGAAATGGAGGATCGTCCAGCTCTCGTCGATGAAGTGCTTGGTCATTCGTCGAACAAAACAGGGGGGTCAAAAGAGGGGG